GTCTTAGTGAAAGGAACTCGATTCTTCTTAAACAAAGTTTCTAGTTTGAATTTTGTAAATAAAGAAATAAACGTTGGAAGAACTTCTCCTTAATGGGATACAACACAACTCAATTCTGGATTAATTGAAATCAATATCATTATCGAATATTAAAAGGTTAATACCAAAATGCTTCTGGAGTTTTAAATTATAAATGCTTCTAGTTAATCCTAATGATATCCATATTAAATTTTATTCACTTTTAACACGAATAGGAAGATGAAATTGAATCATTGGTGCATTAAGGAAAAAAAAATTAATTTTAACCTTTAAAAATTATTTACACTATACTTAGAACTTAAAGTCATTTTTTATTATTCTTAATGCCTCTCTAGTGATGTAACTAAAAAGAATTTTTAGATCTTTTCAAATTTTACAATACTAAAGGAGTATAAGAACTTAGGCAGAATACCCAAATCCACCCCCAAAGTATAGTGACAGGGATGGATCCACCCTCGAACAAAAAACGGAGACAAATCCACCCACAAAGTTTTCAACTTGGACAAATCACCCCAAATTTAACATGTAACGTCATTTGACATCAGCAATCTGTTAATTTGACATCATCTGACGTCAGCAATCCGTTAACGAATTAATGAATTACTGATATCAAATGACGTCACACGTTAAATTTGGAGTGATTTGTCCAAGTTGAAAACTTTGTGGGTGAATTTATCCCCGTTTTTTGTTCGAGGGTAAATCCGTCCCTGCCACTATACTTTGGGGGTGGATTTGGGTATTTTGCCAAGAACTTATTTATAATTTGTGCCTTTTGTTATGTTTATACTAAGGACAATGATACATCTACACTCATCCGTCACACACTTCATTACACACACTTGCTCTCCGTTGTTTTCTCCATTAACTCCAAACTCACCTAACCAGCCCCCTTTCTTTCTCTCTCTCCTTTCCTTCCTCCTTGTTGTTCACTGTCCTCACTAGATCCATCTTCCTCCTCACCTCCATCCTCATCGTAATCATTTATAGCCTTATCTTCCTCTTCTTCATCGTGTCAATTTCACCGGCATAGGGCATGAAGTTGAGCAAGTGGGAACTTGCAAAAGAACCCAAAATGAAGGAGGAAAACTCAAAAAATCAGTACCCAAAAACCTCCAACTCTCTTTTTTTCTTCTCTCAAATCCTAGAATGAAGGAGGAAAACTCAAAAAACCAACACCCAAAAACCAAAATCAGCATCCAAAAACCTCCAAGTCTCTTTTTTTCTTCTCCCAAATCCTAGAATAGAGGAGGGAAACTCAAAAATCAGCACCCAAAAACCTCCAACTCTCTTTTTTTCTTAGTTCGTCAAGGATATCCTCCATGTTGAAAGCCAAGTCTCTAAGATCAATAAGAAATAACTTTACCAACTTGTTATTTACTTGCTTCTGTTTTGCATCTTCAAGTACAGCATGGATTTTGGGTAAAATATTTCTCCACTTTGGTACCTCTTCATCACGAATCTGCTTATGTGAATGACCCTGCAGCAACCGAGCAAAAGAGAGAAATTGGAAGGAAAAATGTCCAAATCTAGTGTTGATGGAGGGATAGAGAGAGAAAGAAACTGAGAGGATGAAATTGCAGGTTTCATTGGGAGCAATTGCAGGTTTTGGGGCTGCATTGGGTGTCGTTTGGGAGTTAATGGAGAGTGACGAGAGAGTGAGTGTGTGTAAGGGATGAGGGTAAACGTAGCATTTCCCTTATACTAATTTGGATATTAATATATTTTATGGTTATATTTTTTACTTGTTATTAAAATTTTTACATTATCTTATATATTTAATAGTGTTAAAAACCGATCAATCCAACTAAACCACACTAATTAGATTTAAATTAAATTTTTTTGGTTATCATATAATAGTAAATTAGACTGGTTTAAAAATTTTACTAATAGATTAAATTGAATCTACTTAAAAAATATTAAAAGTTAAACTAAATTACACTACAAACACCCCTAATTTTTTAAATAAAACCATTAATTATTAACTCAAACTACTGTACCAAAGATGCTCTTGGCCATTTGATCAACACATATAAGGTATTCTGGCGTGTATGATCAAAGTGCTACAACATGCATGTCCCTAGAATCCCGGGCAAACGTGTAAAGCCGGTGAGTAGGACTGTAGAACAAGCAGGGTGGGTAAGCAAATGTATAGCCGGCGATGAGTCAAATTCAATTTGAAGTCCATCTAGGAAAGCCCCTTTGGATGGCAATAACTATAAGGATTCCATCCCTAATAGCTCGCACGGTTCGGCTGATAACCTGTTTGTGATTCCAACATTTTTTACTTTTAGGACATAAATGCAGGTTTTGTAGGAGAGAATTGGGAATTTGGGGGAGAGAGAGAGAGGGGATATGTTGATTTTTTTTTTTTTAGTTTAATGGTCATGGTGTCTTTAAATCAATTTACATGTATTTTGAGATTAATTCATTTTTCACTGTATCAAAGGTGGGTCTTTCAAAGAATGAGCTAATCTGATAAAATAATAAAGATTTAAAAAGGGGAGGGAGATCATTTTGACAATTTTACCCCAATAAAAAAGATTATATAATTATTAAGACTCTATTTAGTATTTTTGTGAAGTGTTCTTGTGAATTTGAGTTTTTTGTTTTGGTTTTCAAAAATGTAGAAATCTTAGAAAAAAATTAAAAATTTTGATATATTAATTGACTTTGAAGTTTGAGGTGTTAGTTTGAAAACTTTATATCTAATAAGTTGTCACTTTTACATTTTAATTTTGATTTTCAATTATTAATTTTAATTATTTGAATGTTGAAATCAAAACTAAAATTTCAAAACTGTAACCACAATCATACTAAATGGTGCTTAAATCTACTAACCAAAATTCTCTCCTTCAAATTAAAAAAAAATTACAACCCTCTCATCAAGTCGTTCTAACCAAAATATCCTTTAAACCGAAAAGAATTATAACTTTCTACAAAGAAATTTCATTTTATGAGATTTTAGAGTACTCTTAAGATTTAGATTGCTCCCAAATTAGCAAGAAATTACAAAATCACTATTAAAGTCTCTTTTACATTCTTTTTAAGGATAAAAGAAGAAAGTAAAATGATATAATTAAGTGAGAGAAAGAAAGAAAGAGATACAAGGATAAAACCTTTTTAAATGAGAGAAATAAAGTAAAAGATAATAGAATAAATAAATAAATAGATAAAACTTTTCTCAAGTGAGAAAAATGAAAAAAAGGTGACAGTAAAGAAAGGAAGGAATAACCAAAGACTCAAAAATCTTATTATTAAATTCTATTTAAGAATTAAATATATATAATAAATTTATATAAAATAATATTAAATGTAATGATATAATAGTAAAATAAATTTTTATGTTGGTTTTCATTGGACATGCTCCCAGCGTCCTGACCAAAACCCACTGGTGTCCGGAAAAATATCCATGAAGATGCTGATTAGCAGCTTCATTACTTTTCTTTTGATACATATAATAATAATGAATTATTTTAAAAAAATAATTATTTTATTTAAATTTCTCTTAATTTAAAGTTCAAATTTATAATTTATAATTTTTAAATTACCCCTTAAAATTGACACTTTGTTAAAAATATTAAATTTGGAATCTCGAATGGGTTCCCAAACGATGATTTTGGGCCGGCATGGAGGACACCTACCTGTCCTACCACTACCCCTTGTCCTTGTCCTTGTCACTTGTCAGGACTCAAATACTAAATCAGACTAATAACACAGAAAATGAAAGGCAAAAAAAGAAAAAGATAACGAGAAAAAAGCCGTTTCAAAATTCAGCTCCGGTATATACGAAAATGATATGATTGACATTAATTTGATGCCCAATATTGGATTATTATCAGCCGGTTTAACGCCATGTCGCCATGTCGGCCATATCATTGCAACATTACTTCGTCGAAAATGGTTGAGTCGAGAATCTTCATGTGAGTCAAACAGGCCTTTTTAGGCCTAATGATTTAACCTTAAATTTAAGTGTTTGGGTGATTTAACCTTAAATTTTAAGTGTTTATGTGGGATAATTGAAATTTCAAATTCTATAATCGTCGTGAAATTTACCAAAAATAGCTTTATGGCTGTGCGCTTCATTTGAGGGGTGGAATGTTTATCCAATTTATGGATTAAATTCTCAACTATTAACAATTAATTCAAACTAACTTACTAATTATTATCTTGTAAAAAAAAAAAAAAATCTTAATGTAAGTTTCACCTTTTTTCCTTTTCTGGCAAGACGAATCTGGGTCAGTGGATTGGTGACGTTACGTTTTGTCCCATTTTCTCCTATTAATAATTTATTAATAGTTATATTAAGAAATTTTTTTTATAAAAAATAATAATTGTATTTTTTATTAAAGACTCAAAGAATTTTGTAATTAAAAAAATCTTAGATTTAAGTTATGTTAGTATAACTGAATCTTAATTTTAAT